TATTAGTGCATGTGTGTTTTTGGTGAGTTAACACGATGTGTGTGTGGTGTATTAGTATATGTGTGTATTTTTGGTGTATTAGTGTGTGTGTGCACGAGTCATTTTTGGTGTATTGATACGTGTGTGTGGCTGTGGTTTTTTGATGTATTAGTGTGTGTGTTTGGGTGTGTTTTTACATTTTAGTGTGTGCGTGAGATTTTTGATGTATTTGTGTGTGTTTTTACATATTAGTGTGTGTGTGTGTGGTATTATTGTGTGTGAATGTGTATGTATTAGTATGTGTATTTTCAAATAAGATAAATGTAAGAAGTTTTTAACATAAAAGTGGTTTTAAAGAAGTAAAAGTTTTTTTTTACTCCTACTTATTGACTGATGTAAAAGGTAAAATTACATTGGTTCAAATATTTATGGGTGTAGTTCACTAGTGTTACTTGAATCTAAATACTACTTTAGTCTATTGAAGAAATTATATGATTCCATAGTGCATATTAGTTTCAATTTTAATGGGGCACTAGAGGATTTGAGGGTGAGCGAGGGTTACTTAGAGGTCAAAAGAATTTTTACATTTTATTTTTTATGGAATATTATTTGTCCCAAAGTGGATGAATGAGAAATTTATTATGGTGTAGGTGAACTCCACCGCAACATGGAGTTTTCCTCTACTTAATTAGGTGTGGTAAAGATATATGAATTTCTTCTTTTTAATTTTTTGGTATGTTTTTCCTTAGTTACCCCTCATTTACGACTCCATTATGTATTTTGAGACTATTTTCTAGCTATATCTTGTGTTGAAATTCTTATGTCATCTCTCACTAACAATCAATGTTTTTACAGATGATTGAAAGCAATGTAACCATGGTGACATATATGATGAAGCCATGAGGGATACCTTTGCACAGTCACCAGAGATATCTTCTTCTAACTTATAAATTTACGTTGAATCTGAATGATGATATTGGATTGAATATGTATTAATCATTTCAGGAAATTAGAGGTTGGTGATATTTTAAATGTGGATGTAACCGTATACTATAAAGTTGTCCATGGTAAGAATGATTATACCTCTACCATTGTTTCACATCATCATTCATATACTATGTTTTTTTCAGCTGGCTGACTTGTCACTTGTGCAGGTGATCTTAATGAAACATTCATTGTGGGGGACATTGATGAAACATATCGACAGCTGGTTCAATGTACTTATGAGTGCTTGGAGAAAGCAATATCTATTGTTATGTGTTGATCTTGTAGGTTATGACCTAATCTATATTAGTTGACATGCTTCCATTTCTCAGTGATAATCTGCAATCCTGGGTATTGGTTATTTCTTTTATTCTTTGTACCAACTGAGAAGATGGCAGATTCTTAACCCTTCTTTCTTTCCTTGTCTTGTGGAGATAGGTGAAGTCTGATGATTGTGGTCATGTTATTGGAGAACTTTTCCATTGTGCACCAAACATTCCCCATTATGCAAGTATCCTTAAAGAAGCAACTTTTCCATTTGAATATTTGTTTGCATTAAAAATCTGTCTATGAACAAATTGAGGAACACAAAGTATAGAGTGAAATGACTCCATATTTATGTGATATTACAATTTCAATCTCTTCAACCTAAGCAGGAAATAAAGCAGTTGGTGTTATGAAGACCGAGCAGATCTTTACCATTGAACCTATGATAAATGCAGGTAATTTTACAATGTTTGTAAATTGAATAGTCTGTGAGTTACACAATCATGTCACTTGCTCTGTACATCTTCAAGAACTCCCATGATAAGTGTTTGGCATGATCGGATGTGGCCTGATGGATGGATTGCTGTTACTGCTGATGGGAAACACTGCTCAGTTTGAACACACTTTTGGTAACACTTCATTTCCACTTCATGGCCCTTTCTTACTCTAATTTGTTTTGCCTCAAATGCTGATTGCAATTTATTTATTTTTTTGCATATGAACTTTGGATTTCGTACAAGATTACTATGCCTCGGAAATATTTATTTGCAATCATCTTCTACTCTTATCTTCACTTCAAATGACCATTCTCTTTAAATTCGGCTTCTTTTGATGGTGCATGAATGCATCTTTGCTTGCAATTTTACCAATTGGGTAGTTGGTTTTAATTCTTAATAGTCCTCTCAATGAACCTCACTGATTTACTCTCTTGTTATACCCGAGATTGGTTGCATTGTCCTCTTCTGAATGAGCTGGCTCCATCTTCAATTTGGGGAAGTAATAATAATAGATGCATTTCGTCAATTTTGAGTGCTGCTGAAACAAGTTTTAGTGGCAAGTTATTTATCATCTTCATCGGTGACGAAATTACGAAGTACATGTGCCAATTGATGTTGGATCCTTTGCACAAATGATTACTGCATCGAAATTCTTTGATTCTTAGAACCAATTTTCTGGCATATTGGGAATGAAAGTGAAGTGTTCTAGCATTTATGTGAACCCCAAGAACACACACCAAAACCATATGCGTTTAACACAATCAATGTTGCATTTATTGTGCTCACTTGCCAATCATTAGGCATTTCAAGAGTCTTGAGATCCTTTTTGAAATATTTTATCCCCTAATGTGTTCCCCTGGCTAAATTCATAAATGGTGTCTATCCATTTGGAACTAGGGATTCACGAGTCACGAATGGTGTCCAATCCCTCATACCTCCAGTAACAAATGTATAATTTGTTGTGCTCGAGTTGCAAGAGTAGTGTTATGTTTGGAGTTCATACACATGCAAAGAACACACTGACAGAATAAACACACACACACACACAAAATAGAAGTATGCATGTTTAACATGTGGGAAACTGTCCTGGTATTTGAAAGTGTTCTCCACTTAATGGTTTTGTACTTCTCTTTTAGCTGACTTTGGAAAACATTTGGAAGCATAGCTTTTCAAAGAGTTTTGTTATGCTGAGGTCAGAAATTTGCATGTAGTTGGTTCATAGAATGGCTCGGGTTGCCAATAGGGATCTCTAATGAGGCTAGAAATCTGCATGTGGTTTGTTCATGGAGTGGTGCATCGAGTGTTTGATTTTGCTTGTTTGAGTCTACTTGCTTGTGGTGGGTATAGTTGAATATTTCACTTTTGGCATGACAATTGTTATGTGGGGTACACTACTATGGGGCTTTCATCCCAAGGTATCCATCTTATTTCTCAAAACAAGTAGGTGCTTGGTTTGTAAATTTTTTGTCTGGCTCCGTAGCTCGCAATTAGTTAGAGTGCTTTGGTGTATTATATAATGTTTTATTTCACACACAATAACTAAGTATGTGTGCTTTTTTGGTGTATTTGTGTATACTTATTTGGTACATTAGTGTGTGTATTTTGTTGACTTACTATGAGTGTTTTGGTGTATGTGCGTGTGTTTTGGTTTATTTCTAGTTTGTGTGGTTATTGTGTATTAGTGTGCGTTCATTTTTGTTGTGTATTTATATGTATGTGTGTATGTGTTTTTGTTTGTATTTTGGTGTATAAAAGTGTGTATTGTGTGTGTTTTTTGTTTAGTGTATTAACGTGCATATTTTTTGTGTATTAGTATGTGTGTTTTGGTGTATTGGGGTATGCTTGCATTTTTTTGGTATATGTGCACTTGTGTTTGTTTTCATGTATTAGTTGTTGTTTTGGTGTAGTAGCTTGTGTTTGTTTTTTGGCGTGTTAGTGTTTGTTTTGTGTGCGCGCGTACTTTTTGGTATACTAGTGGGTGTACTTGTTTGTTGTTTTAGTGTGTATGTTGTTTTTGGTTTATTAGTGTGTGTGTGTTTTTGCATATTAGTGTTTTATGTGTGTTTACATATTAGAGTGTGGGTGTTTGTGTTCGGTGCATTAGTGTGTGTATTTTGTTGAGTGTATTTTTTTTTTTATATATTAGTACGCTTGTTTTGGTGTGTAGGGATATGTGTGTTTGTTTTTGGTGTGTAGATATGTGTGTTTGTTTTTGGTGTATTCGTTTGTGTATATGTGCGCGTCTGTTTCTATGTATTAGCGCATGTGTGTTTTTTGGTGAGTTAACATGGTGTGTGTGTGTGTGGTGTATTAGTATATATATGTATATTTGGTGTATTAGTGTGTGAATGTGTGTGTGCAAGTGTCATTTTTGGTGTATTGATACGTGTGTGTATGTGACTTGGGTTTTTGATGTATTAGTGTGTGTTTTACATTTTAGTGTGTGCGTGGGATTTTTGATGTTTTGTGTGTGTTTTTACATATTAGTCTGTGTGGTATTATTGTGTGTGAATGCGTGTGTATTAGTATGTGTATTTTCAAATAAGATAAATATTAGAAGTTTTTAACATAAAAGTGTTTTTAAAGAATTAAAGTTTTTTTTTTTTTTTTTTACTTCTACTTATTGACTGATTGAAGAGGTAAAATTACATCAGTTCAAATATTTATGGGTGTAGTTCACTAGTGTTACTTGAATCTGAATACTACTTTAATCTATTGATGAACTTATATGATTCTATTGTGCATATTAGTTTCAATTTTAATGGGGCCCTCGGGGATTTGAGGGTGAGTGAGGAACTACCGAGAGGTTAAAAGAATCTTCACATTTTATTTTCTATGAAATATTATTTGTCTCGAAGTGGATGAATGAGAAATTTATTATGGTGTGCGTGAACTCCACCGCAGCATGGAGCTTTCCTCTTAATTAGGTGTGGTAAAGGTATATGAATTTCTGCTTGTAAAGGTAAATGCATTTCTTCTTTTTAATTTTTTGTTCTGTTTTTCCTTAGTTACCTCTCATTTACCTCCCTTTATGTATTTTGAGACTATTTTCTAGCCATATCTTGTTTTAAAATTCTTATGTCATCTCTCATTAACAATCAGTGTTTTTACAGATGATTGAAAACAGTGTAACCATGGTAATGTATATGACATATATGATGAAGCCATGAGGGATACTTTTGCACAGTCACCAGGGATACCTTTTGCTAACTTATAAATTTACGTTGAATCTGAGCGATGATATTGGATTGAATATGTAATTAATCATTTCAGGAAATTAGAGGATGGTGATATTTTAAATGTGGATGTAATTGTGTACTACAAAGTTGTCCATGGTAAGAACGATTATACCTCTACCATTGCTTCACAGCATCATTCATATATTATGTTTTTCACAGTTGGCTGACGTGTCACTTGTGCAGGAGATCTTAATGGAACATTCTTTGTGGGGGACATTGATGAAACATATCAACAGCCGGTTCACTGTACTTATGAGTGCTTGGAGAAAGCAATGTCAATTGGTAAGTGTTGATCTTGTAAGTTATGACTTGATCTGTAATGCAGTTGATATCACAGCCACCCCTCTTAAATCCAACTCAAATGAAACACTCATCCTTTTTCACCCATCTGTCCATCCAATTTTTTCTATCTACACCCTATGTGATTTTGCTGAATTAATGTTCGAGTTAAAGTTCCTGGGAATTGTAGCCTTTAATACTATGGTTAACGAACATAAATAAAATGTGTTGTGTAGGATGGGTAGGTTTTTTTTTGTGGTTTGAGTGTCTTTTATTTTTTTCCCTGTGAAATACAATATTGATTCTTTATCTTGTAGAATCAACTTTCAGCTTCCATATTAGGTTCTGGCAACTTTTTTTCTACTGGTCCAAACGAAAACTGATGTGCTTGTGTTTCGTTGACATAGATGTGGCCTATTTTTAAGTGGTCATTCATATTTTTTTTATTAGAAGTCCTTTCTTGTTTCTCTTTTGAGTTTTTGAATCTGATTAGCATAATTTGTTATTTTAAATTTATATCGTGGAAGTGAACTTGTTCACTGTGTATACAGACCATATCAACCTCGACAATTTTAGCATATTTTTGTAGTTGAGAATATGTATCTCAAACCTTTAGGAAAGATTCCTCATCGTGTTCCTGATTCTTGAATGATAAAAGCTTGTCATTTTAATATAAATTTGCATGTTTCTTAGATTTTGTGAATAATTTCATTAATTTACTTTCAACTAGTGTCCTTGTGTGTTGCAATGTTCCAAAACTAAGGCCTTGGGCTTCTTTCATTCTGATATACATGCACTGTCCTTTCATGTTAAACCAGGGGTATGTTTTTGGGAAATTGGGGAAGTCATTAGTTGACATGCTTCCATTTCTCTGTGGTAATCTGCAATCCTGGGTATTCATTATTTCTCTTATTATACCAAATGAGAAGATGGCAGGTTATTAACCCTTCTTTCTTTCCTTGTCTTGTGGAGGTAGGTAAAGTCTGATGATTGTGGTCATGGTATTGGAGAGCTCTTCCATTTTGCACCAAACATTCCCCATGATGCAAGTATACTTAAAGAAGGTGCTTTTCCATTTGAATATTTGTTTGCATTAGAAATCTGCCTATGAACAAATTGAGGAACACAAAGTATAGAGTGAACTGACTCCATATCTCTGTGATATTACAATTTCAATCTCTTCAACCTAAGCAGGAAATAAAGTAGTTGGTGTTATGAAGGCCGAGCAGATCTTTACCATTGAACCTATGATAAAAGCTGGTAATTTTACAATGCTTATAAATTGAATAACCTGTAAGTTACACCATCATGTCACTTACTCTGTGCATCGTCAAGAACTCCCATTATAGGTGTTGGGCGTGATCGGATGTGGCCTGATGGATTGACTGTTGTTATTGCAGATGGGAAACACAGTGCTCGGTTTGAACACACTTTTGGTAACACTACATTTCCACTTCATGGCCCTTTCTTACTCGATTTTGCTTTGCCTCAATGCTGATTGCAATTTATTTATTTTTTTGCATATGAACTTTGGATTTTGTACAAGATTACTATGCCTCGGAGATATTTATTTGCAGTCATGGTCTACTCTTATCTTCAGTTCAAATGACCATTCTCTTCAAATTCGGCTTCTTTTGATGGTGCATGAATGCATCTTTGCTTGCAATTTCCAATTAGGTAGCTAGTTTGAATTCCTAATAGACCTCTCACTTAACCTCCCTGATTTACTCTCTTGTTGTACCCCTAAGATTGGTTGCATTGTCCTCTTATAAAGGAGCTGGCTCCATCTTCAATTTGGGGAAGTAATAATAATAGATGCATTCCATCAATTTTGAGTGCAGCTGAATCAAGTTTTATTGGCAAGCTTTTTATCATCTTCATCGGTGACAAAATTACGAAGTACATGTGCCAATTGATGTTGGATCCTTTCCACATATGATTACAGCATTGAAATTCTTAGATTCTCAGAACCAACTTTTTGGTATTTGAAATTGTTCTCCACTTAATGGTTCTGTACTTATCTTTTAGCTGACTTTGGAAAACATTAGGAAACATAGCTTTTCAAAGAGTTTTGTGATGTTGAGGCTAGACATTTGGATGTAGTTGGTTCATAGCATGGCTTGGGTTACCAAAAGGGTCTCTAATGAGGCTAGAAATCTGCATGTGGTTTGTTCATAGAGTGGTGTGTTGAGTGTTTGATTTTGTTTGTTTGAGTCTATCTTGCTTGTGGTGGTTATATTTGAATATTTCACTTTTTGCATGACATTTGTTGTGTGGGGGACACTACTACGAGGCTTTCACCTTACTTCTCTAAGCGAGTAGGTGCTCAGTTAGTAAATTTTTGGTCTGTAGAAGCAGTGTTGTTCCGGAACTCACAATTAGTTAAGTGTGTTTTGGTGTATTATATAGTGTTTTTTTCACACACTAACTATGTGTGCTTTTTTGGTATAGTTGTGTATACTTATTTGGTGTATTAGTGTGTGTGTGTGTGTGTATTTTTGAGTTACTTTGAGTGTTTTGATGTATTTGTGTGTGTTTTTACATATAAGTTACACCATCATGTCACTTACTCTGTGCATCGTCAAGAACTCCCATTATAGGTGTTGGGCGTGATCGGATGTGGCCTGATGGATTGACTGTTGTTATTGCAGATGGGAAACACAGTGCTCGGTTTGAACACACTTTTGGTAACACTACATTTCCACTTCATGGCCCTTTCTTACTCGATTTTGCTTTGCCTCAATGCTGATTGCAATTTATTTATTTTTTTGCATATGAACTTTGGATTTTGTACAAGATTACTATGCCTCGGAGATATTTATTTGCAGTCATGGTCTACTCTTATCTTCAGTTCAAATGACCATTCTCTTCAAATTCGGCTTCTTTTGATGGTGCATGAATGCATCTTTGCTTGCAATTTCCAATTAGGTAGCTAGTTTGAATTCCTAATAGACCTCTCACTTAACCTCCCTGATTTACTCTCTTGTTGTACCCCTAAGATTGGTTGCATTGTCCTCTTATAAAGGAGCTGGCTCCATCTTCAATTTGGGGAAGTAATAATAATAGATGCATTCCATCAATTTTGAGTGCAGCTGAATCAAGTTTTATTGGCAAGCTTTTTATCATCTTCATCGGTGACAAAATTACGAAGTACATGTGCCAATTGATGTTGGATCCTTTCCACATATGATTACAGCATTGAAATTCTTAGATTCTTAGAACCAACTTTTTGGTATTTGAAATTGTTCTCCACTTAATGGTTCTGTACTTATCTTTTAGCTGACTTTGGAAAACATTAGGAAACATAGCTTTTCAAAGAGTTTTGTGATGTTGAGGCTAGACATTTGGATGTAGTTGGTTCATAGCATGGCTTGGGTTACCAAAAGGGTCTCTAATGAGGCTAGAAATCTGCATGTGGTTTGTTCATAGAGTGGTGTGTTGAGTGTTTGATTTTGTTTGTTTGAGTCTATCTTGCTTGTGGTGGTTATATTTGAATATTTCACTTTTTGCATGACATTTGTTGTGTGGGGGACACTACTACGAGGCTTTCACCTTACTTCTCTAAGCGAGTAGGTGCTCAGTTAGTAAATTTTTGGTCTGTAGAAGCAGTGTTGTTCCGGAACTCACAATTAGTTAAGTGTGTTTTGGTGTATTATATAGTGTTTTTTTCACACACTAACTATGTGTGCTTTTTTGGTATAGTTGTGTATACTTATTTGGTGTATTAGTGTGTGTGTGTGTGTGTATTTTTGAGTTACTTTGAGTGTTTTGATGTATTTGTGTGTGTTTTTACATATTAGTCTATGTGGTATTATTGTGTGTGAATGTATGTGTATTTTCAAATAGGATAAATATAAAAAGTTTTTAATATCAAAGTATTTCTAAAGAATTAAAAGTTTCTTTTTTTTTACTCCTAATTATTGACGGATGAAAATGGTAAAATTACATCCGTTCAAATATTTATAAGTGTAGTTCGCTAGTGTTACTTGAATCTAAATACTACTTTAGTCTATTGAAGAACTTATATGATTCCATTGTGCATATTAGTTTCAATTTTAATGGGGCAGTTGGGGATTTGAGATTGATTGAAGGGCTACTGAGAGGTCAAAAGAATTTTCACATTTTATTTTCTATGGAATATTATTTGTCCCGAAGCAAAGTTATCAAATCGTGTATCGGAAGGCGTATCGTAAGATACAAATATTGTATCGTATCGTGTATCGTATCGTGTATCGTAAGATACGATGTAATTTTAAATAAATAATAAAAAAATATATATACCTTTGAAAAAAAGTCATACACTCATAAAAAATATATCATTTCATTAATACTCCACCAACTATTCAAGTTATCAACATAATCCACTACTATTATAATGCAAAGTTCACAACCATAGTTCACTAATTCAAACTTTAAACACCAAAGAGACTTCTAATCCAAATTTCTAACATCCATTTTGAACTCAATCTTCAATTTCAATTGAAAATGCATCATCATCATCATCATTGTGATCGGATGCCAACAAGTCTTCACTTCCTTTATCATCTTCAACTTCTTGTATTTGTTCATCCTCATCCTCATCCTCATCCTCATCTTCAAGTTGAACTATTTGCTTTCCTTTTTTCTTGTATAAAGTAAGATTTCTAGGCCCTACAAAGCAACCAATACAAAATATAAAAAAAATAAAATTCAAAGTAATGGAGAAGAAGAAAAAACAACCACTACATTTTAATTACCTCTCTTTCTCTTTTTGCTAGTCCCTTCTTGAACCTCAAAACATTCACCAACATTCATCCAAGTAGTGTCCTCAGGAAGGAGTGCATCTTCTTTTTCAGTGATCCACTCATCATCAGATTCCATATCTGAGAGAGAAATAGGATCATAGGAATCACCCTCTAGTATTCTCTTTTGGTGTCTTGCCTCCAATCGAAGATTGTACTTCACAAACACAAGTGCACTTAATCTTTGTTGCTCTAATCGATTTCTCCTCTTAGAGTGCACCT